ATTTTTAATGTGTTTTAATTCTTATACAGAAAAATCTATGAACTACCATTTATAAAAATTATATCAACTTTAAAACTATTAAACACACAGACTATGGATTTTCTAGTGCTCAGAAAGAAACTAGGAAACTTCTTTTCAGTCCATCAGCAAATATTTTCTGACTATCTCCTCTATGCCTGGCTTATTTTGAGACATAGCCAGCTCATTTCTTCCAGCTCTAATGTTCTATGGTTCTGTAATGCTAAGTGTCTAAATCCAATGGCTCCTGTAGCTCAAGGCCACATCACATTGGTTGCTGTCAGCCTGGCATTTCCTAAACACCAACTTAGTACCTTAGCTCTTGGATTTTAATTTGAAGATTAGTGAGGTCCTGAAGGCAGGGACACAATTTAGCATCCAAACACTATTGCTAGTAAGAGAAATGGAGGAGCTTCATGATCTTTTTAGCTACATTTTCTTGGCTATCATTTCTTTTGAAATTGCTTTCAAATCCTTTACTTTGCATGGGTAATTCTGGAGTCTTCATCTTAACAACTACATTTCATTCAGCTCTTACTTTGGGTCAGGTGTTGTAAAGAGGCACTATATGCACTTTATCCACAGTCTTTGGAATGAACACCCATCTTGCTTCATGGTCACACAGATGGTAAGTGCAAAACTGGATTTAGCCTAGGGCTTTTTTACCTTTACACTATGTTACCAAAACCTGGATCACAAAGAGGGAGTCTGAGGAGAGTGTAGCTGGGCTGCTTGCCATTGTCTCCCAGACTTACACCCTCTGTGCCAAATTAAAAATACAAATAAAATGTAGTTTCTTTAATGTCCCATTCTTATCACTTATCTTATGATACTGCTTCCCCATATTTTTGCTTCCCCATACACTGAAACCCCCCTCAACTCTTTGAAGACAAGGGAACTTTGTTTTATTCATCTTTATATTCTCAATGCCTAACACATAGGCACTCCGTAAATGTTATTGAACTGAATTATTAATGGGCCAAAGGGAAAAATGGTTATAGTAATGGAAAACAAAACATTTTCTCATGCTTTTTCAATGTACTAGATGCCCTTTCTTCACAAAAGCAGTTTTCTGATGTGCTGAATGCAGTTCTCACTGTTTAGACCTGTGTTTAATTGAGCTCAATAAAATAATCAGAAATCTGTGTTTGGGGCTCATTTAGCTGTGCCTATACTTTAATCAAAGATTTATGTAGCCCATATTTAGTAGCATTTGCATATTATTAAGAGTTTTCTATTTTGTTTATTATTTCTGTCAAATAGCAGAAGAAAAATTTTTGTTGAAAGGGTATTATGTTAGAAAAGATCATCTTAAGATTATTCAGTTTCCCTTTTCAAAGCTACTATGGGTGCCACCCCCCTCCCCCCACCGCCTGAAGATTCTCTTCTGATTACTCTTTTTATCATCTCCTTTCTCACAGTTTAGAGCTTAAAGTGAGAATTTTTTTTTAAAGTGTGTTTTCCTGGCATCTCATGTTTAACAGTGTCAGGGGTTTGTGTCCCTGGAACGAAAACTGTTTCTCCAGAGCCTTTTTTCTCTCAGCTTCCAGTGAAAAGAGGGGCGAGGCGAGCCAGTCGCTTACCACAAAGCAATGCCACCACAAAGGAAAGATTAAGGGTTTAGAGAGAGGTCAATGTGGGTTTTTCTCTAACTAAACACTTTCCTAAAGTTTCCTTGTGGAAAAATAATGAAGTCATCTCAGAGTTTTTAAAGAATTTTTATTTCTTTTTCACCGTCTGCATTCGCTTGTCTTCTCAGCATGGATGTTTAATCTTCCTAGGCTTTGTGAATTGGCCCAAATGAATAAGTAGTGAGCTGTCTCTCTAGGAGCTAGAGGCTTATTCTAAGGGCCTAATCACTGAGTAAACACATCTTTGCCCTCCCTCTCACAACTGCGATATAATAGTCGAGATTCTAGCACAGTAACCTGGATATTGCAGGGACCAATGCTTTGAAATGCAGAATGGTTGATCCTCCAAAACAGACAGTGCCTGATCTTCGCCTGCCTCTTTCTTCTATTTTAAATTAAATATTGCCAAAGAGATGGTGTTTTATTGCTTGATATTGTGCATTAGTGCCCTGGATTTCCAAGTTTAGTTTCAGTCAACACTGTCGGCTGCACTTATAGGGAACTCTGCATGTTGGGTTTCTTTAGTAGCCTCTTCGGCACATGTGTGTTTGGTTTGGAAGAGCATTTAAATTAAATCAGTGAGATAGCAATGTAAATTGCTAATCTCTTTCCCAAAGTCTAAATGTTCCATTGCAGCGTTCTTGAGAGAAATGGGCATTTTAAAGATTTAGCCATTGCCATTGTTTGGTTAGAAATACGCTGGTTTAAGAGTGGACAGCTCTCTTGTTCCCAGTGTCTCATTAAATGTAGTTGCTGAGATACGATCAAGCAGAATTAGAGGTTGACATCCCTCTGTCTATTTAGCAAGAGAGCTCCTAAGAAGAAGAGTTCTGAATTTGTTAGTGCTGCCAGGTTCACGTTCCTTTTCCTAAAGCAGTAGATTTCTAGATTCTTTTGCTGAGAGTGGTTTGGCATTGCTGCTGCCATTTGGTGTGTTTGTTTGTTTGTTTGTTTGTTTGTTTGTTTTTGCCACAGGGTTGATAATCAGCATTCAAGTTTCTTTCATCAAACATGCTGAGACCCATGCTAGCTTTAGGGATGCAAAGACTGAAAGAGACCTAGTCCTCAACCCTTGAGAGACTTTGGCTAGAGGGGAAACTGGTAAATAATGATAATACTAATGGAAAGAGATGGAGGCCCAGAAAAGGAAGCTGTTAACTCTGCCTGAGGGAATCAGGGAAGGTTTCATAGAGGCCTTTGCTTTGAGCCCTAAAGGATGAATAGGAATTTACCAGACAAGTATCTCTCCAACTGTTTATCTGATTACAAACTTTCCAGAAGCCAGCTACTGCTACCTGCAGACACAACATGAATGAAGAAACCTAGAGTCTGTCTTGTTCACCATTTTATCAGCATTGCCTCCTACTGGGCCTGACACAGTATTTCAACAAATGCTTGTTGAATGAATGATTAAATTAATTGACCCATGGAAACAGCTATAGTTGGAGTAACTGAGCTACTTATACTCAGGAATTCTGTCCTTATTCCCATTACATGTTGTCTTTGAGGCCCGGGAAGCACTGACGTATGAGCTGGGGCCAATCTGGCATCTTCATATTCTATGAACACTCCAAGCCTTGACTACAATGTGGTTGATTTTCCTGCTACTGCTGTAGTATCAAAGAAAGAATCTCAGGCTTAGAGTCCATCCATTTGGCTTCTAGTCCCAGATGGACTACTTACTTACTAGTTGTGGTAGAACTTAGGACAGGTCTTCTTTCTAAACCTCAGTTTTCTTATCTGTTAATAAATTTTAAGAATACTATTTTAAGGTATATTCTGGGTATTAAAGTAGATAAAGGGTGTGTATCTAAAGTAGATAAAGGGTGCCTCCTAGTCGTAGAAGATGCTTTTAGAATCTTAATCTACCTGTGTACCTCTGGTTACCCTCCCCAAGTACAAAATTTACCTTTGAAGGAAATATTTTAATGATTACATTATTATTATTTAGATTATTTGGATTATTTAATAGAATAATTCCAAGCATCAAATTTCAATATCCTTTCATCAGTATGAGCCTTACATTTTTCTGTAAATGTCTTCCCTTTTTTGGAATCCCACGCAGCATGTTTTTCTTTATTATCATCTCATCCTTATTTAATAGGAAGGGAAAGACCCTAAGCTTCCTTAAAGTTTTCCTTTGCCAGAATTTCACAGATTGGTTTGTATATTGTCTCCACTATAATTTTTTTCTTTCTTTTTTTTTTTAAATATTTTTATTTATTTCTAAGAGAGAGAGAGAGAGAGAGAGAGACAGCGTGAGCAGGGGAGGGTCAGAGAGAGAGGGAGTCACAGACTGAAACAGGCTCCAGGCTCCGAGCCTGCAGTCAGCACAGAGCCCGACGCGGGCCTCGAACCCACGAACCGCGAGATCATGACCTAAGCGAAAGTCGGACGCTTAACCAACTAAGCCACCCAGGTGCCCCCATAATTTTTTTTTCTATATCCTGGCAGGTGACTATTTTTAAACTCACCTCTTCCACAATGTAGCACCAAGTAGTTAGTCAATAACAATTTAGGCTCTTTAATCATCATCGTGGGGGATGTTGTTAAAGCTGACATGTTGCAAATTATGTTGCTCAATTTCAGTTTTTAGTTTCAGTTATTTTATTGACTATCCATCTGTGACAGAGGACGCTTTTAAGAGAGCTAATGTTATTTCTTGATAGCAAGTTTTATCAAGCAAAGGGGAAAGATTCAATTCACCATATGACGAACCACAGCGGATATTTTCTGAAATATAGACTAGAGAGAATTAATGTGAACAATTTTCTACCATCCTTCCAGGGGCAGTTAGATGTTACATGCTTTTACATAAGGACTTTAATATGAGAACACATCAAGGGCTTTGAAATTACTTGTGAAAGTAAAACATAACTTCATTTTAGACCTTTTCCTTTCAAGTAGATGAGACTTACAAAAAATACATAAGAGAGAATTTGGAAATCAGTTCATCTTAATCAGTATTTTTTTCTCTGTACATAGTTGGATAGTTCAAAATTAATTTTCCCTTTATAAAGTGTGTTTTGATAGGAAGAATTATACAATCCATTTTATTTAAAGAAAATACAATTCTATTGCATATTCGGCTACAGAAGGGCTTGCACATATTAACAGGAGTCTGTGACAGCAGTCTATAAAACAATATAATCATCCTAGCCTCTTTAGAGTAGCAAAATTTATTCATATTAGTGAATGCTTTAGGAACTCTAAGTGTCAGGTGCTCTTTTAGGGAGTAGCATTTAATTTTTGTCTTTGCTGTTTATATTTACCAATTATGCCTTTCCAAAATTCAAGAACTCTTACATTAGTGAATATTTTAATTCATCCATCTTTTCTCCTTATTTTCAGAGAAAGCTTCTTGCTATCTACCTCCACCATGATGAAAGTGTATTAACCAACGTGTTCTGCTCACAAATGCTTTGTGCTGAATCTATTGTCTCTTATCTGAGTCAAAATTTTATAACCTGGGCTTGGGATCTGACAAAGGACGCCAACAGAGCAAGGTAATACTGTTGTTCACAAGTTATAAGTGGGGCTTCTATTTAAAAAAAAAAAAAAAAAAAGCTAACCATTGTATTTGGTTTCTTATCATCATAAACATTTTCGTCTTCAGCGTTAAATCCCCTACCATTACATTTAATTAGATAAAAGGTATTTTTTATAGCCAACATGCAGTTATTTACAATTGTGAAAATACATCTCAATTTATAAAATCCAAGAATGACCTGAAAGTCAAAACCAAAATACATTGTTTTCATCTTTTTGCAGTAAACCCACTACAGTACATTTCCGTGTACTAGATATTCTTGGGTTCTCATATGTTGTGGAATATTTAGAGAAACTGTATTTTTAATAATGTTCAGAAAAAGCAGTGCAAGTCTATCATATAATCTTAGTAGTAGGTTTATTTTTTAATAATTCCAGTGAAGAAGGCAAGACATTCTGGACTAGACCGTGGAGTTGGTAATAGCTTAACTCTAGCATATACTAATTGATCTAATCGCTTTATTGCACACATTCTTTTGCACACATCCATATTCTCAGTAGGAAAAAAATCCCTTTCCTAGCTGTCAGGATAAATTTACTTAATTTGTTAATCTTAATATATATAAGTGATGAATAATTCTTCATATTTTGTCTATTTGAGTTTCTCATCTGAAATATATTTCATCATGTTTAATTACACATGTGGCCATAACAATCAGTGATGCTACTTTGGGTGTGTTTAACACAGTCATAATCACAGACTGTTGGTTTATGAACAGGGAGATTAAATTAATTCATATCAAGGCAAGTCTATAGTTATCTAATTTAAATGATTATAGGACAATTAGAAATTATCTGATTTGGTTTTTCATTATTATTTTATAGCTCACTGAATTTTTGCTTATCATTTAGACTTTGTTTTATGTAATCTAAACCTGAAAAGAAGGATGATTCTTTCCTTAAGTGTGAAGCAAAAGAATGTTGAAGCAATTTCTTCATCTAATACTTCATTTCTTTAAGCAAATGGTTAGGAAATTTCACAGGATGACTTCCTTCTGCATTGGAAATGTTCCCTGTTATACATAAATAAAGAACCTTTAGCACCTGTATTTGTTTAAATTAAATCAGGTTATTATTCACACTCAGTTAAAGGTGATGAAAAGCAGTGCCAAAAACAGATAAAAATGCAGCATCGAAGGTCTTTCATGAGGCAAAATACATAGACTGGAGACTTGGCTAAATCTTTTGCCATTCACTGGCAGTAAGGAATCTCCTCCTTTCCTTTTATCCACAACTTGCTGGAGAAGGAAACACTATTTCTAAACCATCTGTAGTGGCTAAGTTCAGCAGGCTACCTGCTGTTATTTTGTTCTATCCTCCATTTAATTCCTTAGTTCCTTTTATTTTACAATGACAAAAAATTGCAGTGTAGTTTCTTTTGAAAAACAGTGTTTGAGGGGTTTTTTTTATGACTGGCAATCAACAGCCATGTAATTGCTTTGTTATGTTTTACTAAAGAAGTCTGTTAAGTAGCACAACTTTGATACACTAGTAATAAGAGTTTGCAGGTTACAGAGACACCTGTGGTGACCAAAGCGACAGAAGCTGCTTATTAGAAAGAGCCAGTACAGCTGTGTCCTATTAACTCCTTATGACACTTTTTTTAAAACACAAAATAAAGGCCTTGTTTAAGGCTTTAGAGCTATTTCTCAGTGAATTGTAGGACTGACTGTGAGGTATGATAGGATATTTCAATCTACATTTTTAAAAAAATATGGCATCTCATTATTATTATTACATTCATGAAAATGAAAAGAAGTGATATTAAAGACTGAAAATGGAAACATCTAGGAATTTGCTTTAATAAATATTTTTGGAGGAACAAGAAACAGGGCCAATGGGGCAAAAGAGAATTAACCATTTCTGGAATTTAAGATACTTGGCATCCTTACTCAAAATCAAATTCTATCCATATTACAAATTAAAAACTATTTTAAGTTAAGGTATTACATTTCTCTATAAAGCAACAGAATTATGTAGGTACTTACCATGTTCAATTCCACATTATTAAGTCAAGTGGAAAATATGTATTTTACATACCCAGTATGAAATTTCATTGGAATGACATTTTCTTAAAAGAGAGTAAAAGTGGATTTCCTTTTGATATATTGAACAGCAAAAATGTTTTAATTAATTAGGCTCATTTATAATCACAAAATAAAGATTAGCTTAGCAACAATTTTCTTACCAGCCGTCATCTAAATAAAATTGTCTAGTTGAATTTCCATCTCTGTGATCTTGTATTTTTAGTACCACATTTTATCCAAAGGTGTTTGTTATAAACATTTATTGCATTATCCATTTGACACTATTAACACTGAGTAACAAAACCTCAAAGTTTCACACTCAGTTCAGTAGAAGACCGCTGAACTAATATTTATTGATCAGTGAGCTACATTTCAAAAGTTGCTCTGCCATCATTTGCATATTACCAGAAAGTTAAAATATGACAGATTAATATGTGAAAATGTAGAAGAGATTTCTATGCATCACAAACAAGATTGCTTTGGGTTTCTTTTTAACTGTGATTTTCTTATGACAAATGCGAAAAGTATGGAAATAATTCCTGGTAGGTGGCTTGTTTCATCCCATATCTGGCTCTCCTAGTTCAAACTGATCATACAAATTTTTAAAATCCTGAGCCTGTAAGCTATTTAGTTTGGATGACTCCTTAGTAGTTTTCTGGACTACTCCCTGATATGATAGCTGGGACATTGGTGCCCAAGTTGGGGTGGAACTTGCCAAGCAAATTTACTTTTGCTTAAATAATGGGGCGCCTGGGTGGCTCAGTCGGTTAAGCGTCTGACCTCCGATCAGGTCATGATCTCATGATTTGTGAGTTCAAGCCCCATGCCGGGCTCTGTATTGACAGCTCAAAGCCTGGAACCTGCTTCAGATTCTATCTCCCTCTATCTATGCCCCTCCCCCACTTGTGCGCTCGCGCGCGCTCTCTCTCAAAAATAAACATTAAAAAAATTAAAAGAAAGAAAGACTTTGCTAAGGGTCACCTGGCTGGCCTAGTCAGTAGATCATGCGACTCTTGATCTTGGGGTTGTGAGTTCAAGCCCCATGTTGGGTGTAGAGATTACTTAAAAGGAAGAACTACTCTGCTAAACCTACAGAAACATTAGTCCTCCTCAGTTTACTTGTGAATCTCTCATGTGTAGAAGATAAGTGAAGAATACTGTACTAAGTGAATGATTTGGTAAAGTTACCAAAGTATGAATGTCACTTGCAGTTATAAGTTAAATTTCCTGATTCCACTAACAAATTAGAATAAAAAAAGAAACATATCTGTAGAATGTCACTGTTATACACCCCTGTGATGATGATTTGGATTTCCTACCTTCAAAATGATTCTAATAACTTTCTTTCGAAGTTGAATACTTGATTTGACCAACCTATACCTGTATAAAATAGATCAGAATAATTTCTGGATTGATCTTGGAACATTCCAAATATGGATTGAGACATCAGACTTTAGCAGTAATGGTAATATGCCTGTCTTCTCCCTCATTAGATTGTGATCTTCCAGAAAGGCTTATTCATTTTATTTGTCTCATTAAACAGGGCACTTTATTATTTGTTTGTTTGTTTGTTTGTTTGTTTTGAGAGAGGAAGATAGAGAATGAGCATGGGAAGGGGCAGAGGGAGGGAGACAGAGAATCCCAAGCAGGCTCCACACTGTCAGTGCAAAGCCCAGTGCAGGGCTCGAATTCCCATATCGGGAGATCATGACCTGAACTGAAACCAAGAGTCAGTCGCTTAACCAAGCAACTCAGGTGCCCCGTAAACAAGGCACTTTAAATTTACAAAATTGTAGGAGAAAGAAATTCATTAAGCATTTGGCAAATGAATGTATGCATCCATATCCACCTAAGAACGTGCTTATAATTTCAGTATTAGATATCTAAATGGAGGTTTCTTTCCTGGAAAACTCTGTACGGTCTTGGCTGTCATGTCTAGTTGGAATTCAGGGCCATTCTTTCTTAAAGCAGTAGGCAATAAGCCCTTGTTAGTCTTAAGAAGTCCTGGAGGAGATAATTTCCTAAATAACCATCTGAAAATAATCCTGAAAGAAAGAGTAGGATATACCTGTAAATGAAAGAGCTTAAAAAAAAAAAAAAAAAGATAACACTAAATAAAGAGATCCTGCAAATCATTTCTGAAAGTGGCTAAAAATTATCTCAAGAAAGGTATATTTCCTTCATGTTTATTCATTAAGTAAACATTTACTGCATATTTAATAGGAACCAGGAATAGTACTCTGCACGGAGGATGAGAAGATGAAAAAGATACAGTGTTCAATGCTCAAAATACTCTGTAGTCTAGTAGGAAGACAGACATAAAGCTAATATGTAGTATGAAGTGTGCACAAGGTGCTTTGGAAGTATAGATAAACTTCATAGGGAGGTACTCTACCTGAGTGGGCCAGGGAAGAACTTCAAAGAAATGACACATGGAAAAAATGAAATTAGGATTTTATTCTTTTTATATTAGCAGCATCCCTAGTTTATTAGGTTGCAGATATCTGCTATTTTTATAAAGGAATATTAGTATTTTAAACCTCATAATTAAATGTCAGAAATGAAGGATCAGTGGTTTATATAATAGTGGAGGAGAGAAAAAAAATAGAAGGACCTGGCCAGCTACTAGTGTAATTATATATGGTCTGAACCAGATTAAGGTCAACCAGCAGGGATGGACAGATCCCAAGAAGTTGTTTTGTTAATGATTCATCCCAGTATTGGCATATGCTTATAGGCAGACAGTGGAGCAGAGATCAGATACTCTTTTGGATGTAGAAACACATAGTAAACCATCATGGATTTAACTACTACGATAAAAATCTATTTAAGGACAATATATTTTTAGTGAACAAATGCTTATTCTGTAAAAGAATAATTTCTTAAAATTCAGGACAGGTATCACCTTTAGGAAGCCTTGCCATTGTCCA